GACACCGGATTAAACAGTATCTCATTGAGCACAGAGACAGTCACGGACCCGCTGCCCTCGCCCTGGGGCTGCCGGTGCCTTTGTCCTTTTAGTTTCCCCGCTTCTGGAAGCACCAGCGTTTAGGTGCAGGGAAGGCGTTGACTGTGAGGCTTTAATGGGACCCGGACTCGGAGCTTTCCCGGCTCTGTCTTGGCTGGCGCTGTGCACATAGTTGTAAACGTTACTGAGTATTGTTACTGTTCAGCTGGCTACAACCCGGTTTATAACCATGAAATCAGCCTTAAGAAAACACAGGAGTTATTTGGTTCAAAGTATTTGTTGGTGTCTGCACATTATGGCTTTTAGGACCAAAACGTTTTCCTTTTGGGGCTGATTCAGCCGTTCTCTGCTCGTCTCTGCTTTCTTAGAAGCATCACCAGGGGTTTGGGGTTTAAGACTGAAATAACGCCTTGACCGTGTTTTGCAGTTAGACTTTGAGTTGTTCTGAATTGCTGTAGGGTGAAGTTTTAATAACAAAAATATTAGACCCTCTGTGTATTTTATACAAGAAAAGTACAAGCCTGGCCAGGCCTATGAATAAAAGCAAATTTTCAGCTGAATCTAACATTAGAGATTCTTATGGGATAGAGTAATTTAAAACCTACTAAATTTAAAGTTTTTCTGCTAATACAATTTATTGATTTATTCATAAAGCTTGAATATTCCCACTTCTTACTTTGCGTGGTTAGAAATGTGCAAGCTTAGGCATAGTTACTTCTAATCAAACCCAATAAAATAAAACATGTAGAACTTTAGAACATCGATCAGGGATGACACTGTGAATGTTTTAATGGTTTGTGGCTTTTGTATGTTATACAAAGCTTGATCATGACAAGACAGAACACTTGGAGCTGTGTGGTGATGGTGTTAAATAAGTATTTATCATTCTTTTACGTCATGTAAAGGGCTCAGTGTTTGCACACTGTTGCTGTTCCTAAAAACTGTCCTAGGGCTTTGTTAGTGGAACAGGCAATAGGCAGAGATGTTCTGGTGAGGCTCAACAGAAATTCCTCTTCTCTGTCCCTGGGTTCAGCTGTAAAACTGAACAAACAAAAAAGCCCCAAAGCTTTAAGTATTCAAACAAGCCAAACACATTGAGACAAACCCAGTGAATCCTAGCAATCGTTCTCATTCTCTGTGTGAGAACGTGTTGCCCGTGTGGACACACAGATGATAACAGTGCCTCATCTATACCATTGCCTGTCCTTTAACTATGTAAAGGGAAAGCTTGAGGAGTTTGAATTTCCTTCGAGCTTTGGCAACTCTGGCTCTTGGGAACTGGAAGATGATGGTGTCATGGACAGGTTGAGCAGAATTCTTCCTGTAATAAGCTGCTTTGCCTTTCCATCTGTCCTCTTCCTTGTGCTGGCAGAAGGAAACAGGGCTGCTGCATGACCTAGGTGGGAAAACTTATCTCAGTGGGGTTATTCTGCCCTTTCCCTATGTGCTGCCTCAGACACTGGGGCAGGCTGAGCCTGGTTTCCTGAGAAAAACAGCTTCCCTGGGCTGAGCAAGACCTGCAGCACTAGTTGGGATCAGTCTAAGGTGATTGTGAAACGACTGTGTAAGAAGGGCACTTTCTTTCCACGGACAAATAGGTGATGGTGCCTCAGTGATGATTCCTGTAGACACTCCTGAGAAGCTGTCTCATTTGGCCTCTTATTAAGTATCTTCTACTAGCACACAGTAGAGTATCCCTTTAAAAACCCCAAATTTCACTTTCATTTTCTTAGGGAATTACCAATTGGTAATTTTCTCCTCGAATTGGAGTCTGACACATCCTTCGTTTTTTCCTGGCAGTGTTCTATTTTCTGCCATATTTCCCTTGGTTTTCCAATAGCACCTTCAAGCTGCGTGACTGGGTATTGAGTAGGCTGTGACTGAGTAAGAAAGGGTCGATGCACGAGTGGTTTTATGCCAGCAACTCTGAGTCATGGCTCTTCCTCTGCTTTTGTCTCTGCTTTGGAGGAGGTGAAAAGTAGCTGGTTGAAGTGTGCCAGCAGTAAATGACTGTTATGTCCCCCACTGATTTTGCTGCTGGGCCAGAGCAGACCAATAAAAGTTTAATGGGCGAGTAATTGAAAAACCATTGTGGTTTCTTTGATGTTATTTGGCGTTCTCGGTTTTGCTTGGCTTGAGCTGAATTGTGGTTCTGCCACACAGCTGCTGCTTGAAAGATTTAATCGCTCTTTAAAGCTTTCTCTCTAAAACCCATTGAGGGATAATTTTGGGGGTAGAAAAAAGTATTAATCACTCCATAAAATATATGTACTATTTTGAGTGAAGATGCAGCAATGCATGATGCAAACCCACAGCAGAAAAGACCTAACAAATGACTCGTCCTCCACGAGCATGTTTCATTACCACAGCCACTGCACTGTTGAATGCTATGATTCCTCAAAAATGGCTGTTCAGTGATGTTCAATGTGTTTCTTATAATTATTTAAACAGTTGATGGACTGAGATAACAAGAATAGTAGGAACAATTTAGTGGGCTGCAGGTTATCTGGTAACAAACACAAGCTGAGAAGACATTTGTATTCTTTTCTGTTGGAGAGTTAAGTCTGTCAGTATTGCCATTGGTAAATTAGGGACCAGCAGGATTGTTACACTGACGTCTTTCTTTTAGGACCAAATGTTCTTCTGCCTCCATCCAACCTGGAATACTCATTTATCCAAATCTGCACTCTGAACTGGACATGGAATCCTCCAGAGAACGTCAGCAGTGGCTGTGACCTGGAGTACTCCAGCGACATCATGATTGATGAGGTGCCTCAGGGCAACAGAGTAAGTGCATCACATCTTTAACCTCTGCTGTGCTCTGGTGAGAGACCTGTGTGTGTAAGCATATATACACAATTAAATATATAGAAATACAGTTTTAATACAGCCTTTAGTTCTTGTGATGGCATCAAAACCTCAACAATGAGTCATACCAGCATGTGGGATCTTCAGATGACAGAAATCTGCCTCTTGCTCTCTGATAACTGAGCTGCTCCCTGTAACACAGAAGTACCACGATAACAACATGAAAAGACTTGTTTCAGTCTTTGCTTATGCAGCTTTCTAGAACAAATTAAATACATACAGGGCAGTCCGCGACTTACAACTCAAATGGGAATTAGCAAAGGCTGATCTCCTTCACCTGGCAGTGTTCAAGGCCAGGTTGGACACAGGCGCTTGGAGCAACCTGCTCTAGTGGAAGGTGTCCCTGCCCGGGGCAGGGGGTTGTAGGGTCCCTTCCAACCCAAACCATTCTATGACTTGATGATGATGAAGACTTGTGCGCATTAACCTTGGTGTCACTGTGATTTGACAGCATAGTGTCTTTTGGAGGTAATGCCAAGTGTTCATGTTCCCACATTTGTCCTGTCCCCCGGTTATTCATGGGGGTTGTGTTCTGAAGACAACACGGAACACGTTTGTTCCCTGGAACAGAAGCTGTAAAACTTCTTGGTTTGGACTTTTGTTTTATGTCTGTGTTAGGTTGTTTGCAGCCCAGATGTGATCGTCAGTGTGGATCAACAGCTGTTTGGTCAGGACTGAGAGCAGCAATGCCGTGGTACTGAAGGGGCTGTAGGGGACATTTTTACAGTGTACTGCCAGTAAGACAATGTGCTATCAATCCCTAATTCCAAATGGTGAGAATATGAAACCTTGAACACACACCAATGGTGGCATTGGCAGCACTGCACTTTCGGGTATGGTTAAAAATGACACAATGCCTCTTGAAACAGTCCTTTGCTGCTGAGTCCTGTTACAGTTTCATGGTGACTCCTGTATTCTGACAGCTCCAGAATATCCTGCATTTGAAGGCTGTTGTTCTGCCAACAGCTGAGCTGATTTAACGGCTTTGCACTGCTAAAAGGGTGATACGTCATTTTTGATAGCCTCTTCTCTAACAATCTTCATTGGACCATTAGATGAGCCAGTTGGACTTGGTAACTCAGCAGAAACCTATTTACCTCTTCTGATGGGTCCATTAACAAATGAACAAGTTGAAAGCCGTGTTGGTTAACAAATGAGTTCATGAAAGGGTCCAACAGATGGGAAGATCAGCAGCAGTGAAGCTATAGTATGAGCAGGCTTATTCTGCATTATCCGTGAAGACTTCCTCTAGGATCAGCTGGAGTGGAAGTGCTTTTCCTTTGAGTTCTGAGGATGCCTGATGAAGAAAAAGAGAAGTGAAGTGATGCTGGCTCTTCCCGTGTTGTCAGACACTTCATTTGGCTTGGAGCTGCAGTCTTTCTGAGGGGCTGTAACTTGTCCTTACACTGATAGTAATTCCCATGTGTCTGATACAATATGCGAAATGTTCTGGTCTTCTTTCCCTCCAATCTAAACCCAGAAATGGAGTAAGAGCCACTTCCGCGTGACGGATACGTTCTTGAATGAGGAAATGCGTTTCAAAGTGAGAAGTGAATGCAAGAATGCCAACACCAGCGAGCCCAGCCGGTGGGTGGAGGCCTCTCTCCTGCCAGAAGGTAACACTTGCCATGGCCAGACCCAAGGCAGACCAGCCTGTGTTGGTATGAGGAGCTGCGGTCCCGTTTTCTCTGCTATTTTAACGAAACACCATAGAAATGTCTCATAGAGTAACAGGGAGATACTAGGCACAAGGACCAGTTCAATTGATAGAGCTTAAACACAACTATTATACTGCATTTAAAGACAACTGGAGTCTTCTGATAAATGGGCAAGCTTGTAAAATGTAAATGATCTTCCAAGACAGCAATGTGATTCCTGTCATTCCCCTCGTCCCTGCCATGCTGTGGTTGTGGGATAAGAGAGAACTTGGGCTCTGTTAAGCCTGCTGACTTCATGACTAACGTCTAAGTCAGTTTATTTTATATCATTTTTCTGTACAAACAAAAGTCTCTAGAATAAAAGTCCCCAGTATTTGTAAATGGTGGAGAGGTGAACCCAGCAAACAGAGCAACTTGTTGAATAAATTAGTTACTTACTTAAATAATTGTTGTAAAGTTCTCTCTATTTCAAAAGAGACAGCTGGGGTCTACAAAGCTGTGCACAGCAAAAGGAGTAGAGACAAAGTGGGGTTTGTTTCTTGACATCCAGAAATAAGGGGTAAGATTGTTAGGAAGAAGACTTTAAGGAATAATGCATTCTGCTGGATGCTGGGAGTTAGGAGGTTCAGCAAGGAAATAGAGCCTCTTGCCTTGAGCAGTTAAAGTCTGTCTAACCCAGGAGTGTGACAATGTGGATGAAAACCACACGTGGACAGGAAAGTCTGAGACTTCATCACCTTGTCTGCACATGTGTCAAAAGGCTGTTTTGGACAATTGGGGAAGCAGATCATTAGGACAGCAAGTGCTAACCAGGTTGGGGCTTTTACAAGTCTTCTTGTAGATAAGGTATTTTTAAATACCTCCTGGAACAGGAAAACCAGTTTCCTACACTCTCAGGGAGCTGCTACTTCAGGGAGAAGCTTGGATGTAGAAGGTAGTTTGAGGTTTGCTATGGATAAGTCTGAGCTGTTGATAGAATTAACATTCATTTTATTTTTAGTTCATGGAGATGTTGCTACAAGGAAAAAAATCTAATATGCTATAATTTGATAACATAGTATACAGAACTCGTACCATACAAGATTGAGTGTGAAAGACTGGATTCCACAATTGCTCTGCCTGGGAGATGCATTGGTGTCTCTGTTCACAATTGACATGTACTCATTTGTACTTAATTGGAGTTTTCAATGTGAAGAAGTTGAGGTATAGGGGTCTCAATTAAAAATTCAACTTACCCCACGTTGTGTTTGTCCATATTGGAGATCTACAGGTATTTCTGTGTTCAGAACACTGAGAAACTAATATCGTATCTGCAGAAGATAACTATAATTAAATGCTGACTATTTCTAATGTTATAGCACTTAGCTTTCTCATAGTTATCCCTATAATTGCCAGTTACTTTAAATACTCCTTAAAGTATCTGTAGTTTAATAGAACAAAACATCTTCCTGACTCAACCTTAGCATCAGGTAACTCCCAAGTAGTAATTCAGCCACGGTGGTAACTGAGATTCACTGTTACGATTTACTTGCATCCAGAAGTTACTCTGCTGAGCTTTTGGCTAGTGCAAGTGATAAACAACTGGAATCCATCTTAAAAGATCTTTCCAACTTGCCTTGCAGGTATTCCAGGTACTGCTGCTGTCGACTTGAGCTGTGTTTGGCACAATTTGGAGTACATGGTTTGTACGTGGCGTCCTGGGAGAAATGCAAGCGATGAGACCAATTATATGTTGTTCTACTGGTTCGTATGAACTTTTAATTCCCAACTCTAAACTGTTTTAATGCTAATCTTTAGTTTTACATTACACATTTGACTTGCCTGCTCCTCCTTGCTTTGAAAGGTCCCTGGGCATGGTGTACAAGGTAGTGTTCAGTCCTGCCCGACAGCGAACTTCCTTGCCGAGGGGTCCAGGGGTGCTGTTGCTGAGTCTTTTGGGGACGTTGATATCACTATTACGTGAAGCAGTGACTGCTTCTGTAGCCTATTTTAAAACAACTGCTTTTACTTCTATTTGTTTTCTGATTGTGGATTCACAGAGGAAAGAATTAAGAACTGAGCTAGACCAATGTATTAACTGTTTTGCAGCCCAACAGATATGGGCTCTTTAAGTTGGAATCACTCACTAATGTATGTGTCAGCTCATAAATCACTGGAAAATGGTTTGAAAGCCTTAGGAACGCTTAGCAGTAGTTCTGTTTGTGTCTTTGATGTCATAAATAACCGATTCACCTTGAAAGTTATGGAGAACATCTTTTTATTGTCATCCTTGCTTGCCAGCGGACTGCCATAAATAGGCTCTTGTTCCAAAGGAACAGAGTTGTGCTGTGGGCAAAAACTTGGCATCAAGATCTGTGCACGCTCATCTATGCATACTTCTGCATGTTGATGGGGCTTGTGAAATGTCAGATTGCATTAGCTGCTGTAGAAATATTGAGGTTTTCTTTCTGAAAGCCCCTTGTTAGAGCTTTAAACCAGCTTTCTGTCTTATCTATCTGAGCTAACTACGCTTCTTCCTCTTCCCTTCCAGTGGCAGCCTCACAAGCTACTTGTTTGATTTAATACATTTGGACAGCAAACAGCAGAAAACTTGCTGCTGTAGTTAAATGCATGGAGGACTGTTCTGTCTCTGAACTGCTACTCAGATTGTTTCTTTATTACAAGAACAGTACCAATAAGACACTGGAAGATCTGTATTTCTGGGTATATGGATACTTGCTGGAATAATGCTTTAGATTAAAGGAATATATTTTCAACTTACCCCTTAATTTTAATGAAAGATGTAGCTGCAGTGACAGCAAAGTGTTTTAATTCATGCTGTGTAGAAAGAAGAATACTTTTTAGATTTTAAAAGTGAAAGCTAAGGAAACAGTTGATTTTTGGACTGGAAAATACACCTTCCATAATGCAGGTCAGGTGGGTTGGGGGGGGGGGCGGTGTGCTTTTCCCCTAGTACCCTATCTTTTCGTCCAAAGCGAACATGAATGTAATGTTAGCTTAGAACAAACAAATTCAGTCAGTGCCCAGTAATACTTGCTGAAACAGAGGTTTACAAGAGCAGGTTGATGCATGGCAGGTGCTCTCTGCTCTCAACGTCTCCAGCTTCATCAGCCCAGGGCAGGGAGGTGACAAGGGTGGGTAAAAAAGGGGTTTGTGCTGGGAATGGGACAGACAGTTTCAGCTTCCACAGCCCCATATACTGAGATGTGAAACTGGGGACATATCCCTCCTATTGTGCTCTTACATGAAGCCAACATTTACTCTCTCTCGCTTTTTAGTAAATAGCAGAAAACAATCAATTTTCTCATGAGGAAAAGCTACTGGCATATTTTCACTGGGACTTAGGGAATAAAGAGGAGCAAGGCAGAAGGTTGTCCGGGCTCTGTGATTGGAAGTGAATATTGATGTTCTGAAAAGCAAACACAGGCAGTGGGTGAAACTTGACTGGCTCAAGAGCTGTGGTACCTGAGGCACAGCTAAAGGAGACTGATCAGCTCCATCTGGCACAGAAGTGAAATTCTGTTGACGGGAGGTGATCCAAATATGTGTACTTGATAAATCATTTTTTCCTAGGAATAGATTCCCAATTGCCTTTGATGCTTTGATACAAAGCAGACCTGCCTCTTCTTCTGCTACTTGACGCTCCTCACAAAACCAACATTCTTTCTAAAGCTTGAGATAAATTAGAAGCTTCTCACTTTCAGTGGCTTTACTTCTATATATGCTATAGCACAGCTTTAATGCAAGATCAGTCTTTAGAGTTTGTAACACAGGTTTCCACACAAGCTGGCCCCTTGCTGCCCTGTTCTTTTGAAGTTTAAAAACGATGGTTTTCTTCCTCTAGGTTTGATGGTTTGAAGAAGCCTAAGAAGTGCAGCAACTCTTCTGTGCACCAAGGAGTCTTTGGATGCATTTTCAATCTTAGCTTCCCGAAAGTCACCAATACGTACCCAGCTATAAGGATTCTGATTAGAGATGAGTCTGAAGAAATTAGGCCTCTGTGTGCAAGTAAAAATCCCACCACCCTTGGTGAGTTTAACACCACTTTGTAAACCCGAACTTAGCTGCTATATTGTTGTGTTTGAGAAGCTTGCACCTCGTAAGGTGTGGACGAGACAACATGATTAGATGCTTCCTTCATCTACCAAGCTTTGACTTGGGAATTATATAGACATGTTTTGGGTTTTGGTGGGTGGGGGGTCATTTCCCACTCATTTTTACTTTTATTCTTTAGTTGTTTTCATTATTTCTTGACTTTTTTGCTTTTTTTCCTCTTTCTGTTCCTAAATGGGTGTAAGTGTAATATTCTGCAATACAGGACAATCTTGTAAGCAGTGAAATATACTTTTAAAGTAATTCTTCCATGTTGTATTTCAGTAAAACCTGCTACACCAAGACAAGTTGGAGTGTCCAAGATGAACGATGAAATACATGTGGAATGGAGTGGATCAGAACCCTTTCCAGAAAACTGTTTATTTTATGAAGTTGAATATCACAATGGTGACTTGGACACCACTCAGATAATCAAAGTAATTTTTCATTCCTTGTGTAGGAAAACAATCAGTTAATCGTATCTTTTATAATTGATGTTGATAATCACAGTACCTGTTTGTATATGCTGTAAGTGAATGGGTCTGGTGCGCCAGCTGAAGTCTTGTCTGGATGTCACATTTTTTCCCCATCTCCTGCCCCATCCCTGGCAGTGTTCAAGGCCAGGTTGGACACAGGGGCTTGGAGCAACCTGCTCTAGTGGAAGGTGTCCCTGCCCATGGCAGGGGGTTGGGACTGGATGAGCTTTAAGGTCCCTTCTAACACAAGCCAGTCTGGGGTTCTATGAATAATACCAACGTTCCTCAGGAAACTGGCATTTTGGATCACAAATAAATGAAGTTCAATCCCATCTATTGTGTGTGCCTCTCCTTAGAGGTGTACACATAGACCTTTGCTATGGTCACAGAAGATTTTGCTGTGGTCAAAGTTAGACCAACGTTGCTGCCCTGACAGGGAGGGGAAGGCAGTGTGAATGAGAGACTTTCACACAGTTCCAGACACTGAGTCTTAGTTTAATCACTGATGCCAAATGCTGCATGGTGGATGTAGCAATGAGTAAGATGAAATCCTAGCTTTGGAATCTCTGCTTATGCAGTCTGTGTTGGTTAAATGCTACTATGTCCTTTCTTATGAAGTTCAGTATTCATAAAAAGATCTTCTGTCAGAACATTCAGAATACATTAACTGCACGATGAAAATAGGCTTGTGAATGACTGAGAATACATGGCAAATTACCTTTTCTTTTCACCTTAGGTTGAAAGTAATTATACCTCGATTCCTAGTGTTGATCCTAACAGCAAATACATCTTCAAAGTGAGAGCAAAACCAAAGCCCGAGTGTTACAGCAGCAAGCTCTATAGTGACTGGAGTGAAGAGAAGAGTATTGGTGAGAGCAGTTGTTCCTGCAATTTGTTGCACTTTATTCTTCATCTGTAATGATTCTACTATGTCTGCTAATAAATGGGAGTCGAAGTTCATCTTCCTATGGATCTATTTAATTTTAGGTGGAAAGAGGGCGAGAGAGTTCTAGTCTTTCAGCAATGGCATCCATTACTGCCTGTGCTGCTCTATATGTCGATGTGGTTGCCATCAGTGCAGTGACCCCTTTCACTGCTGTCAGTTTTTCAGCCCTGAACCTTGCTGGTTTGCATTTTCTTGCCAAATGTATCTATGTTAGAATATGCTTTGCAAAATGAGACCTTGCCTACAAAACTGCTGGTGTATTTCACAAACATTCCACCTATGAACAACTCAGAGAATTAATTTGTTGTCATTATTCCTACAAAATCCTCTCAAAGCATCCCTAAGTTCCTACAGTTTTTGTTTTCCAGGTGAGAAGACAGACTCTACATTTTATTTGGCTTTGATAGTCACCATTCCATCAATAGTAGCAGTCTCCACAATAATTCTACTGGTTTATCTAAAAAGGTAAATATCCACCTCCAATTACAACCCACTAATTCTGCTGGTCTGTGCCGTGTGTTACATTTCATCTCTCTTGCAGGTAACCGTCCATCAGTTGCATGTTTCAATAGCAACTGTTTTATCCATAACACCTATTGCATAACGAAATTGTCAGCACCCTTGTGCCTCAGTCAATAGAATTGGGTTTGCAGACCATATACATGCTCTGGCACATGGGTAACGCTTATATCTGCTTGCAGATAGATTCTTAGTGCACAACTATTATATCCTGTCTCTAAGCAATGAAGACTAAATTCAAAATTAAGCTTTTCTGTAAGTATATTTAACCATAGTTTTTAAAAAGTCTACATTTGTTGCTGTCTTGGTCAACAATGAAGGTTATTTAGAATCTGTCTGTGTGAACAATTCCGTTTCCTTTTGGTTTGGGGAGTAAAACTAGGAATTGGGTTATACGGAGTATGAGGGCTGGCCAGTGATGCCAAAGCTGACTCCACACATTTTCTTGGCTGCAGCCAAATAGGATTTTGAAATGGTGATGCTTAATATATCTTTCATCTAAATCTGTCCTTTCTCATTTTCTGAAGGCTGAAGATACTAATTCTTCCACCAGTTCCAGACCCTAGAGAAATCCTTAAGCGCATGTTTGGAGAGCAGAATGAGGATTCCCGGGTTAGTAAGAGCCTGTTAGTTCAACAGCTAATCTACTGAACTGGAATCTGTAGGCTTCCAATTTTCTTTTTCCTAATAGCTATGTCTGTCTTGAAGCCAACTGTATATAAGTAAATGTATTGTAAGAAGATTAAACATTTACAATAGTAAGAGTTGTTCAGAAGCAATTACCCAAAGCTGAGGGATTTTTTTTCCCTCAAATTGCATATACTTCTCTAGATACAGAATTGCATTATTCTGTTATTTCACAGCCTGCTTATCCCTTAACAGTGTTTGGGGTTGGTTTGGGGATTGGGTTTTCTGGATAGGAGTTTTCTGGTCATTTGGTTTATTATTTGGGGTTTTTCCAACTCCATTAAACTACTTCTCCTGAACATTCAGGCCTTTCTCTGCTAGATGCTCATATTTCTGATGATGAATAAAGCAGTTACTTCTGTCAACCAGGCCTAAGGCATGTCCCCAATAAGCATAACTTGTTGCCCATCTACCTTGGCATTTTCACCATGATATACGGCTATATGTTGTGAAACAAGTCTTGTTTGGGCTGAAGAAACCATGCTCACCATGAAGCGCTGTTAAAATGCTGTTCTTTCCTTTCAGAGCTGTGCAAAGGATGATCCTGTGAATGCTTACGACAAGTTAATTAAGGAAGAAGAAATTCATTCTTTAATTTTAACAGAACCTCCAGAGTGCACTAATTCTGAAACAGAAAACTGATAAACTCTGCTTTACCAGAGAAAAGTGAGGAAACACTCCTGCTCCTGTACCTCAGGTGACAATGAAGATGTGAAGAGGCCTCCAAGAAATTCACCAACTTTCACGTTGCTGAGTCCTCTCTGAGCCTTACTTCTCTGATGCTCAGAAGGTACATCGCTGACAGTGGCCATTCCTCCATGTCTGCTAGAAATACTCATTTTGCATCATTCAAGATGAGCATGTACATAAATTTCATGGGACTGCATTGCAGCATCTCTCCTTCTGGCTCCAGCCAGCTCTGCCCTCTTACATGTCATTTGCACTGTTTTTATGCTTCAGACTAGACTGTAAATGGGTTTTTTGGAGCAAGAACTGTGACTTCTCTGAAGTTTTTGGGTCTGTTCTGCAGCAGACGAGCTGAGGCTCATTTACAGTAGGTGGCTCCTTAGCGCTACTGTGTGGAACTGCTGCCAGGTGGGATGCCAGAGCATGGGCCGTGTGTGGATGGCCTGTTCCATGTGCACCAGGGCACTTTCCAGAGGACATTTATGGACTGACCTTCTTGTGCTTCTTCTTGGTGTGCGTCAGCGGTGCCCTGGCAAACCCCCCAAGAGAGTTGTTTTCTCTTTACCAATGCGTGTGAAAAGCGCCTCCACTTTCCAGCTGGTATTCAGGCTATTCATGGAGAAGGCTGCTTTTTATCCTTTCAAGTGCCTGTCCTCAGGTGCTTTCATGGACTCTTTGGCTTAATTATACTTTGTTTAAAATGATAACTATGACTTTTTCACTTGTGTTGTGCAGTGGCAGGTAACTGTATTGAGTCTTACCAGACTGTGATTCTACCTTGGCCACACTGGCCTGAAAACACCTGATTTTTGGAAGCTGAGTCATCCTGAGTCTGTGCAGCATAATTACCAGGATGGATGCATGAGTTTAAGGAGCTGTGGTCAAATTAGCAAGTGCCAAACAATTGAAACTGAATTAACTCAAAGGCTTCAAGACCCATCCTCACTGCTGAGCTGATGGATTTGGGTGAAGAGGGGACGACAACCTCGGCCTGCTTTCTAAGGGATAAGCTTTATTATTTTGTTAGTGATGGGGCTGTGATTGAAGCTTCCCCTCCAGGAGCTTAGCAACTGAAACCAAGGTGCTGATTTGACTTCATATCAAAAGAAATTTCTTCTATATTTTACTGCAGCAGCTTGATGACTTTAATGATTAATGGATTTGATCCTTTTCTGATGGTTTTATTTTGAGGTTGCTTTACCCAGCGAACCTCAGCAGATGTTCTCTGGCACAACTGTGATAGTTCTCTGCTCTGAATTCAGAGCATTAGTTTCTACCCTGCAAGGGTGTTAACAGCAGTACCTTGATTGTGCTGGAGCAGAAAGTAATGTCGTGGAGACAAGGTGATCCATGGGGAGAAAGGGATCCATGCAAGCTGCCTATGGTTAGTGTTCAGGAATTTCTTGTTCCTCCCAGCAAAGTGCAGGCACATTAGTCACTGATACAGTGGGTCTCAGCAGACTGGGAAGAGACATGCTCAGGAATTTGCCAGGAGCAAACTCTATAACCACTGACCTTTTAAATTTCAGCCATGTCCTCAAATTCCGTTCAGTCAGAAATCTGAAGTGAAATGTTACATCTTTAGAACACATTGTTCTCCAAGAAGTAGAACCGAGCTTGCTTTTTAGCTACACATTTACATCCTTTACCCTCTTATGTATTCCCTCCCTCTCGAGCTAATTCTTTCTCCAGTCCCCACTGACCCTCTCAAATGTGCGGTTTCCCCTACGTCTCTTATCTACCTCTCATTACTGGTGGTAGAAAGGGGAGGAGAAATGTAGCAGGACAAGCAGACCCCAAGTTAGCTTCAATCTTTTACTTATAACCAGGCTAAAAAATAAACAAACTATTAAAAAAATTGGTTAATGAGACAAATGAGAATAAATCCTCAGGGATTCCAGTGAGCTAAAACAAAACTCAGGTTGTACAATGTCATCTACCAGCACTATCTGATATTGCAAAGGTAAAGGGATAGCATGGGGGGAAAGGGTAATTAAATCCCTGTGCCAACTTCATTCCCTTTCCCCCGCAACAGTTATTACAGTGATATAAAGATTTCTCCAATCTACCTCATCTAGAGTCTTGCTCATCATAAACCACTCGACAGAGATGTATGATTTCAAGATAAGTAAGCATAATGCTGTAATATAAACTCCTGTGGCTTTCAGTATAGCAATCTAGGAAGACGAGCCTCAATTCTGTTGACTTTTCTTTTGGGGTTTGTGGTAAAACCAAAGCTCATTTGTTTGAAAAACAAAAAGGAAGCACAAATTTATACAGCTAAAGGAGTGGAAAAACCAGACGGGAGGTGTTCAGCAAAAGGAAGCTGTAAACACAGAGGATGGTTTAGATCACTATGCGGAAATGGCTTGGGTAATTCTCTCTGAAATAGTAGTCATTGACACACTTCCTCATGGATGGATTTCTTGAGCCTGTGTTTTGGCATGTGAAGTGTCTGAGTATGTTTTCACCTTCAGTGTGTCTTGTTTCTGGTTTTTAGCTTGATATTTTCCAAGTTTTGCTGTCATTTGTTTGTTCTTCGTTGCAGTTACTTGATCTAGGAGGTTGCTTAAAGACTGAATAAAGATGTTTGAATGTTTTTCAATAGGATTGCATGGCATTTCGTTCTCAGGTTGCAAAGATAAACTGAGATGGATGAGACGGCAGTGGCTTAATGAGAAACCAGGTCTGAGGCTTGCAGAACCCAGAGATGAAACACTTGACTGTTGCTTTGCTCTCTTCCCTTTCAGAAGTGACCTAGAGTGAGGGGGGAATGTGACAGCTCCTGGTTTCTTGGCTGGGGTAATGAAATGGAGATGAAGCTGTGCACTAGCCTCGTGCTCTCCCCCTCTGTGTGCTCAATGCCATGCTACTTTCTGCCATTTCATAAGGCTTCCGGGAGTTAATAAATTCTCAGACTGGAATTTGGCTGAGGTTGCTGCAGCCCTCCCAAAGGTAGCTCCAATATTTCATGTCTTCTGTTCGCTGCTGAAGTCCTTGAAGGTGCCAGGTTGCTAAACTGACAAAAGCCATTCCCTAACTGCTCAGACCCAAATGTGCTCAAATGCCAAATAAACACATTAGCAATGGCTTCTTTAAAAGCCTATTTGGTTCCCTCGCTGAATGTCAGCAGATCAAGTTAAGGCATAAACTGATGTTAAAAAGCAAGACTTGGAGGATTTTATTTTCCCATTCTACAGTTTTGGTGGCAATAATGACCCACGATGATGTTAGTCACTCCCCATGAGTGACCTTTTCCTATTTTAATACATTATGGTAAGTAATTTAAATGTTCTGTATGAAATGTTTTTGTCAATTTTCATTTATTTCAATGAAGGAATGCCAGGACATCATTGGACAGCTTTAAAAGAGTCAATAGATGAGCACACCAAATTGTGAGCTTGGTGTTACAGTGCTTACAAGGTAGAACTATTCAGAGATTGGGTATTTCCATTCACTGGAAAGTATTCAGCAAGCTTAGTTCTGAGTTGGAACCTCAAATACTCAGAATTTCCCCTGGAAGGGAAATGTTGATTTATTTTTTCATCTAAAAACAGCTGAAACTTTCAGTTTTGGAGGGTTTTCCCCTCACCCAAGCAAGAGCAGGAGGTAGGTGAGTCCAAGCCCAGTTACAGTCAGGGAACTGCAGAAACCTCCACCCCTTCTTCTCCATCCCTGCATCATGGGGCAGTGGCTGAGATCTTTGGGTCCAGGAATGGGCATGGTGGGGCTGGGAGGAGCAGATCTGCCAGGGCTGTTGATGGTTCATTCAAATACTTCAGTTTTACTCGATGATTGCAAAGATAGTTTTATGGGAGTAAGCCCCATGCGTTGCATTGCCAGCTGTAGAAACATGACTGCTAGATAATACTTGAAATCCAAATGAAAAATCAGATTAAGATCTATTTGGATGATTTCATTCTAGCTATGTTGAATCATGGTGAAAGCAGGAGACTTGAGATCACCTTGATGTAACCAAATCTACGCTCTCACCGCAGCAAAGCAATGTGGGTTTGAGTGGGAGACACAGGACAGAGACAAGCTTGCTTTCAGGTCCGGAAACTCTGCCTCACGTGTGTAGCATGTAGGAGCCTGAAAGCTTGTTGATGACTTTTGGGGTTTTTTTTGCTCTCTTTTCTGTGTTGCTCAGGTTAACAAAATCCTTTCTCTCTTGCTTGTGAGCCTTGTGGTGTTTAGCACTGAAGTATCCCTTCCACAGCTGTACTCTGATTACTGCCCAGTGTATTCTAGTAAAGCTCTCTGCTCCATGTTTTGCTTTTCGCCCAAGTACTGCAATGATTTTGCTGACTCTTACACAAAGCATCTGCAAAGAGATGCTTTCCAGTTAACCTGTACATCCAGTAATCATACTCTTAGCTTACTACATTGAAGTTTTTCTCTATTTAATTTGGCTCAAACTGCTAAAAGGGTCTTGGCAAAGAGAATGAGGAGGTTGAAAGCTTAGTGAGAAAGATGGTTTTTTTAAGCTCAGGTGCTGTCACCTTTTGGAAGCTGGACAAAATTTACGAAGCTAGACCAAAGTTAAGAGCAGGTTGAATCAGAAGTTAAACTAATGTCTTGCTTTAAAAGTAGAGCTGAGCCTACATCTTCACTAGTAAAACTGAAACAGAACAATCCAACTGAATGTGCTTTATGGTAGGAACTAACTGGAGTGTACAATGGCCAGGCTTTCCTATTGATCTCATGGTAGATCAGTCAGACCCCATGCTCTCGTCAATCACACTCAGAGCTCTCTGCACACATAGTGTAATTCTGTAAAGTCTGAAACACCAGAAATGAGGTGCTTTTAAGGCACTTAAGTCACTGCCGCTTCTCCTTAAGCTGTTTTCATGCAGAAAGTTGAAACAAATTCCTCTGGGTTTTTTGACAGTGGCAGTGAGAGCACTGAGATGAGCTTGGGTCTGTTGTGCCTTTCCTCTCCCTGCACTTCAAAG